TAGGGCTGGGAGGGTGTGTCTGTATGTGTGTGTGCGTGCGTGCGTGCGTGCGTGCGTGCGTGCGTGCGTGCGTGCGTGCGTGTTAAAGAGTTAAAATATACAACATTCCTTTACATACAAATAAATCATTACAATTATAACGTATAAACAAGAGATTTTATATGATCACATGATTACTATGATCAGTATTAATTAACCATAGTTTGCTTTAACTATCAGTGACGATGATTTGCTTTGAAGTAAACTGTCAAACAAAGGTTTTATATCACACTGTTGTATACTGGGTTTCATTACAGTCAATGGGCTTATATCACACTGTTATATTCTGGGTTTCATCACAGTCAACGGGTTTATATCACACTGTTATATACTGGGTTTCATCACAGTCAACGGGCTTATATCACACTGTTATTTTCTGGGTTTCATCACAGTCAACGGGCTTATATCACACTGTTGTATACTGCGGTTCATTACAGTCAACGGGCTTATATCACACGATTATGCACTGGTGTTCATCACAGTCAATGGGCTTATATCACATTGTTATATTCTGGGGTTCATCACAGTCAACGGATTTATATCACACTGTTGTATACTGTGGTTCATCTAAGTCAACGTGTGTATATCACACTGTTATATACTGGGTTTCATTACAGTCAACGGGTTTATATCACACTGTTACATACTGGGTTTCATAACAGTCAACGGATTTATATCACACTGTTATATACTGGGTTTCATTACAGTCATATAGAATACTAAACGAGCTCCCGTGTAATACCAATTTTATGAAACTCGTGAATAGTTCTGGTATCTGACTCGCTTTCCAGTCAATGGTTTTATACTGTGGTTCATCTAAGTCAACTGGTATATGTCACACTGTTATATACTGGGTTTCATTACGGTAAACGGGCTTATATCACATTGGTATATTCTGGGGTTCATCACAGTCAACGGATTTATATCACACTGTTGTATACTGTGGTTCATCTAAGTCAACGTGTGTATATCACACTGTTATATACTTGGTTTCATTACAGGCAACGGGTTTATATCACACTGTTATATACTGGGTTTCATTACAGTCAATGGGTTTATATCACACTTTTACATACTGTGGTTCTTCACAGTCAACGGGTTTATATAACACTGTTGTGTACTGTGGTTCATCTAAGTCAACGGGTATATATCACACTGTCATATACTGGGTTTCATCACATTCAACGGGTTTATATCACACTGTTGTATACTGTGGTTCATTACAGTCAACGGGCTTATATCACATGATTATATCCTGGGTTTCATCATGATCATGATCATAAACCTGAATTTGTATAGGCTTTTTACTTTGGTAAAAATGAGTAACACATCTTCAATAGTATAAATCAAATCCAACAAAACTGCCTATCAAGTCATCCAGGCATTTCACGGGCACATCTTCAACTGCATTTCCATATTCAAGGCCGCATACAATCTTATATCAAAGAAATCGCTTATTCAGTCTTATTAGGACTTTTCCTTTACAAAACCTACAACATTGGTCTGTATGTTTGTTAAGTGACACAGGAAAAGTGTTTACATCATTACTTTGAGCAATTCAAGCATGCAGTCTTACAAGGTAGGCTTTATATCAGCTATATTCAACAGCTTCAGTCAAACGAAAGAATGCTTTCTTTTCGTTCAAAATGCACGACGTGTTTTAAATTGAAGAGTATGAAGAGGCGTAGAACATGTGATTGTGTGTTGTTGTTTTTCATAAATATCAAACAGTTAAATTTCAAAGTAAACACATAATGCTAGTGCAGCTTTACCTATTTAGAGTCAATCAGTGGCTTGTTACAGTCGTTTGCTGTAGTATATATAACACTGTATAATCACTAATAGTTGTGTGACTGGGTGTGTTTGAAGGGGTCAGTTTGTGTGGATGGTGTGTCAGAGTGTGTGGATAGTGCGTCAGGGTGTGTGGATGGTGGGTCAGGGTGTTAGGATGGTGGGTCAGAGTGTGTGAATGATGTGTCAGAGTGTGTGGATGGTGGGTAAGAGTGTGTGATGGTGTTTCAGGGTGTGTGGATGGTGTGTCAGGGTGTGTGGATGACGTGTCAGGGTGTGTGGATGGTGCGTCAGGGTGTGTGGATTGGATTGTGTGTCAGGGTGTGAGGATGGTGCGTCAGGGTGTGTGGATGGTGTGTCAGAGTGTGTGGATGGTGTGTCAGAGTGTGTGGATGGTGTGTCAGAGTGTGTGGATTGTGTGTCAGAGTGGGGATTGTGTGTCAGAGTGTGTTGATGGTGTGTCAGAGTGTGTTCACGGTGCGTTAGAGTGTGTGGATTGGATTGTGTGTCAGGGTGTGTTGACGGTGTGTCAGATTGTGTGGATGGTGTGTCAGAGTGTGTTCATGGTGCGTCAGAGTGTGTGGATTGGATTGTGTGTCAGGGTGTGAGGATGGTGGTCAAAGTGTGTGGATGATGTGTCAGAGTGTGTGGATGGTGTGTCAGAGTGTGTGGATGGTGTGTCAAAGTGTGTGGATTGGATTGTGTGTCAGGGTGTGAGGATGTTGGTCAAAGTGTGTGGATGGTGTATCAGGGTGTGGATTGTGTGTCAGAGTGTGTTGATGGTGTGTCAGAGTGTGTGGATTGTGTGTCAGGGTGTGTGGATGGTGCGTCAGAATGTGTGGATGGTGTGTCAGGGTGTGTGGATGGTGTGTAAGTTTGTGTAGATGGTGTGTCAGAGTGTGTGGATCGTGCGCCAGAGTGTGTGGATAGTGCGCCAGGGTGTGTGGATGATGTGTCAGAGTGTGTGGATTGGATTGTGTGTCAGGGTGTGAGGATGGTGAGTCAGAGTGTGTGGATGGTGTGTCAGAGTGTGTGGATGGTGTATCAGAGTGTGTGGATGGTGTGTCAGAGTGGGGATTGTGTGTCAGAGTGTGTGGATGGTGTGTCAGGGTGTGTGGATGGTGTGTAAGTTTGTGTAGATGGTGTGTCAGAGTGTGTGGATCGTGCGCCAGAGTGTGTGGATTGTGCGCCAGGGTGTGTGGATGATGTGTCACAGTGTGTGAATGGTGTGTCGGAGCGTGTGGATAGCTTGTCAGAGTGTGTGGATGGTGTGTCAGAGTGTGTGGATGGTGTGTCAGAGTGTGGATTGTGTGTCAGAGCGTGTTGATGGTGTGTCAGAGCGTGTTGATGGTGTGTCAGAGTTTTTAGATGGTGTGTCAGGGTGTGTGGATGGTGTGTCTGGGTGTGTGGATGGTGTGTTAGTTTCTCTAGATAGTGTGTCAGAGTATGTGGATGGTGCGCCAGGGTGTGTGGGTTGTGCACCAGGTTGTGTGGGTTGTGCACCAGGTTGTGTGGGTTGTGCACCAGGGTGTGTGGATGATGTGTCAGAGTGTGTGAATGGTGTGTCGGAGTGTGTGGATAGTGTGTCAGGTTGTGTGGATGATGTGTCAGGGTGTGTGGATGATGTGTCAGAGTGTGTGAATGGTGCGTCAGGGTGTGTGGATGATGTGTCAGGGTGTGAGGATGGTGCGTCAGAGTGTGTGGATGGTGTGTCAGGTTGTGTGGATAATGTGTTAGGGTGTGTGGATGGTGTGTCAGAGTGTGTGGATGGTGTGTCAGTGTGTTGCCTGTGCGTCAGAGTGTGTGGATTGGATTGTGTGTCAGGGTGTGAGGATGGTGAGTCAGAGTGTGTGGATGGTGTGTCAGAGTGTGTGGATGGTGTATCAGAGTGTGTGGATGGTGTGTTAGAGTGGGGATTGTGTGTCAGAGTGTGTTGATGGTGTGTCAGAGTGTGTGGATGGTGTGTGAGGGTGTGTGGATTGTGTGTCAGAGTGTGTGAATTGGATTGTGTGTCAGGGTGTGAGGATGGTGAGTCAGAGTGTGTGGATGGTGTGTCAGAGTGTGTGGATGGTGTGTCAGAGTGTTTGGATGGTGTGTCAGAGTGGGGATTGTGTGTCAGAGTGTGTTCATGGTGTGTCAGAGTGTGTGGATGGTGTGTCAGAGTGTGTGGATGGTGTGTCAGTGTGTTGACGGTGCGTCAGAATGTGTGGATTGGATTGTGTGTCAGGGTGTGAGGATGGTGAGTCAGAGTGTGTGGATGGTGTGTCAGAGTGTGTGGATGGTGTGTCAGAGTGGGGATTGGGTCATTTTTGGGGGGATGGTACGCCAATGTGTGAGGATGGTGTGTCAGGGTGTGAGGATCTTGTGTCAGGGTTTGTGAATGGTGCCTAAGGTTGTGTGGATGGAGCGACAAGGTGTGTGGATGGTGCGCCAAGGTGTGCTACCGGTGTGCTCTGGTTTGCTTCCGTTCCTGCATGTGGCCATGACTTCGGCGCCTTCTGGTAGTCTAGTGGATAAGGAGTCAGCCAGGACAGCGGCAGTCGATGGTTCGATCCCCTTCCTACAATTCTGTTTAACAAGCAAATACTCTCAAGAGGGGTACCCCGTGAGCACCCTGATCCGAATGGGCCCCGGCTTCCCCAGAGTCGATCGTAAAAGGCCTCTTAATTCAACTGATGGCTGGGCGTTGTGCCTCGCCTTATGGCAAGTGCCTATACGTTGCCTGTTTCATTTCTCTTATTAACAACTATTTTCGGCCTTTCCTGTGGCTATGGCTTCTGTTTTGTCTGGAAGATCACGTTTGTTTATGGGAACCGTCTCCGTCGTCTGATGGACAGGGAGTCTGCCGGGGAGCGGAAAGACGGCCGTTCGACTCCCCGTCCGCCTCATACCAACAGATGTTAAAATATTATACCCTGGTGCTCGGCATTAAAGGATACAACAAGGACTGGAGTACTGTGTCTGAGTGAAGTGCCCATGTTAAACTGAGGCTTGATATTTGAGTGGATTAGCGCTATAAGTCCCCACCTATACAAACATCCTTAAACCCCACTAAAACCCTATTTCTCCCTACCTCACATGAAGCAGTATCACGATTGAGACCACAAAGAAATGACTCCACAAATGGGTCTACCACAAATTGAAAACCCTTAATACAACAAAGAAGATTGTTTGCTGCTGAAATATTTTTTATTTCTTCCGGATTCTAAGTGGTTGACATTACTGGAGAGTTTGTCAGGACAATTAAAATATGGAAAAGTCAATGTCGCCAAGACTGCTGCAGCTGATTTCTCCGTTAGACCTGAAATGATTCAAACGTTATTTTTTATTATCAGCAAGAACCACTGGCACCATATATACACTTTTGCTTGTATTTTTCACAAACGTCTTCATTACCCAGCCGATTATTTTCACAAAGGATAATATAGAAATTATGACAAGGAATATTATGGATAGCAACTTATTTGGAGTAAGCAGGGTGCGAGAACATGACACACACAAACAAATACAAATGAATCTAGTTTAATTATAATCTTATAAGCAAAGCCAGTTGTATCTATATGTCATGTTCTCCAATCCTGCCATTCACTTGATCAAGGGGCCAGAAGTAGCCCTGAAACGTTGTGTAAGTACAATAAAGAAGCTATTATCCATAACAGTATTCAAATCTTTGTCGTATCACGTCTCTTTTAGTTGTCCTTGTCGTAATAATATACAATTTCCAAATGCTATTATAGACATTCCGCAACCAAACACGTTTTCTCGCTTTTATATGAAAATAATGAAGTGGAAATCTGTCAAGTTTGTAAAGTACTTGTTAAAGAAAATTTCTTGGTGCTAACATCGGTTTTCGGAAAATTAGATTGCTGAAAAATGCTGAAATGCTGAAAGAAATGCCTCACAAAAGAAAGTTTCGCTAGAGTTGCAATTTGTATGTCTTCGGGAAAAACAACGGTGAATTTAACCTCTGACACCAACCACGTATGCTTTAAGAGTAAAGTATTCTTACGTTGCGTCTGGGATGCTGAAGGCGTCGGGCTGGATGGATGTTATGCCGGTGTTGGTACAGATCACACGAGCCAGAGTTATTTTGTCGATCTCGGCTAGTTGATCTGTAAAACAGTATGACAATATTGAACGTGCATCGAATGGGACAAACAGGGAACATGTGCATCATTCTGTCAAATAACATGTTGAATGCTTGTCGCAATGAGGGGCCGTTCTTTCCTAAATTTTGTCAAACAAGCAAATACTCCCATGAGGGGTACCCGGTGGTGACCCGGATCCGGTGCACCAGTGTTGATGGCAAGAAGCCACGGATGGCGAGGCTGTGTGCCTCGGGTGGTGGCGTGTGACGTGCTACGATCAGTACCTAGGTACTAGTACCTGTTCCCTGTTTCTCAACAACTACGTTTCACAGATTTATATAAAAAACAGTTCAACACTTTAAATAATTACTAGAATATGTCTCGATGAATTATTTCGAACTGGATCAACTCCACAACACCCCTGGGCCCTCTTGCACAAAGCGATCTTAGCACTGCGATGATCGTAACTCCCGTACTCTGACCTAGACTTAAGACAGTCGTAGCGCTAAGATCGCTTTGTGCAAGAGGGCCCTGTCAATTGCCAAGAAACAGATAACCGAGACCAACTGTTCGAGCATATGATGGATCTGTGAGTGTCGAATAGTGGGGTAAATCCCGTTCCATATTCACAAGAAATCTCTGTCAAATGCAGAGTCGATTGTACTATTACGAATATATCCTGAACTCGTGTCTATAAATCACACCCATACTCATCACACATACCGTATTCGACGTAATAAGCGCCCAGGTATATCAGTCGTGGATAATGTAACAAAAGAGCCAACATATCCTCAAAGGTAACATTAAAGGACCCAAATGTGCATAGATCTAAAGTTAATCAACATTTAAGTAGGTGTTGCAAACAATCCTTGGACAGTTGCGAAACAATAGGAATACTCAAACGTTGTATTGGACCATGCCAGCATTTATCAGAGAAACCAGCTTGACTTGCCTGCTGTGAAACCAATAGTTGTATTGGTTGTCTCGTACCAGAATCGATCACCAGACCGTATGTCACTAAATTGCTGTCCCATTATGTAGGCAAAAGTTGGACCAACCACACCACCAGTAACAGGGGCCTCGTTCATAGCACCTGCGTATAGGTCGATTTTGCTTGTGTCCCTGAAAATAGAGATGTTGTTATTAACCTATGAAGCTACTCACGGGAATGATGCGACGACCTAGGCCATTATCATAAATTTCAGCTTGTAACATCTTCAGGTCGACTGGTGGTCAATTTTGTTTTAAATTTATTCAAACCTATTAATCTGTACAACTAAAAAACAAAAAGGAACTGCTTTTGAAACATGGAGGAAACACTCACGTGTACACAGAAGAAGCGCATGAAGGGTTTGTTGGTGTTGTAATAGTGATCGTTTTGTCGGTGGCGAACTGGATGGCCTTGTCCCGGAAGTCTGAGTAGGGGGGGAGGCCATGGTCCCGGCCTCGCTGTACGTTGAGGGCCAGGAGGTCTTTAGCCCCATTTACAGTCTGGACGTGCTCAAACAGATGATCAGTTACACCTGCCAAAACAATATGTATCTAAAAAGGAGTGCCAAGCGTGCTCAAACCGATGATCTGTCACACCTGTCAAAATTATATGTCTCTTAACAGGAGTGCCAGGCGTGTTCAAACAGATGGTCAGTCACACCTGCCAAAACAATATGTATCTCAGCAGGGAAGCCAGCATGCTCAAACAGATGGTCAGTTACACCTGCCAAAACAATATGTATCTCAGCAGGGAAGCCAGACGTGCTCAAACAGACGATCAGTCATACCTGCCAAAACAATATGTATCTCAGCAGGTAAGCCAGACGTGCTCAAACAGACGGTCAGTCACACCTGCCAAAACAATATGTATCTCAGCAGGGAAGCCAGACATGCTCAAACAGATGGTCAGTCACACCTGCCAAAACAATAGGTATCTAAACAGGGAAGCCAGACGCACACGTACATGAACGTCGCAGTATAAGTGCAATAATCTTGAACGCGACGTTAAACCCCGTTTCACCTCACCTCAATTATTATAGGGATGGAAAAGTTGCAATAAAGAAAGGAAAAACATACAATTTGTAGCCGAAAGAAGCCTCTAGACGAGTCTGTAGTAATGAAATATATATTGTAGGGAGTCATACTAGTCAAGATTGTCACTGGTGGATTCGTCAAACGGTCAGGCTCAGATTACATTATTAAGACGCAAGCGCAAGCGCAACTTGCATCAACTATATATAAGATAACTACTCGATAAATCGCAAAAGAGCTATGAAGAACGAAGCGGGGTTCATTTCACGATAAAACATCGTTCTATCATGGCGTCATTTCTGGAGATTCGAATATGCGCTTGCAACGAGATGACTTCATATATTGGATGACGTTATTTTTTAGAGGAAGTGCCAAGTGAGTTGTTCCCCATAGATGTAGTTTGGATAACCAGATAAACACAGTGGCCAAACGATCGCATCCAAAAGGGGAAGAGATATGAAAATAGGTATCAGGAGAAAAGTACAGATAATCATAAAATGGACTTGTCCGACATTGCCGAGGACGGATTCTATTCAGGGCGTCATCATTATTAAAATTGAGGTAACTTTTTTAAAGCTTGCATATTTTATCAGCATCCTTTAAGAGGCTGTACATAACGCTGATATCTCATATAAGAAAAAAAAGACTCGTTGTCGTTGTTTACTTCTTAAATAACCAGTATCCTCAACCAGAGATCCGGTTTCACATAGAACGATGATTATATAGTGAGAAATAAACCCTAGTTTATTTTAATTTAAACGGCAATGCCATGGTATCTGATTTACTGTCCATTTATTTAACAGTCAAGGGGAGACAATCCAGACTGTCAGTTGCTGATTATGCTGTAAGCGGTATTTGTTTTTTTATTGTTGCAAGGGACACGTCACAGGCGCCAAACGTAACTTGCAAACTACACGTTGTGCAGGAATTTGGTGATTTTTCTCAGTCTGTTTGTTTAAATTCACTCAAAGAAGAATGTCTGTGAATAAAAAAGGCGAAGGAAACGAACAGCCAAGTCAGTTCGACTTTCGACAATGGTGCAGTGACAGCCATCTGAACAGTAAGACCGCACAAATTTTGAATGACGAAGACATTGATAGTCCAGTTGCGTTGTGCTTGATGTCACTAGAAGACATTACTGAACTAAGATTGTCGGTAGGTCAGCGGAACATCCTAATTCAAGCAATAAAACAGTTGAAATCGCCGCAACCAGTACAGTCGCTGCCGTCGCCTGTCACAACAAAAACACTTGCGTTTGTTTTCCTTTTCCACCCCATATGGCACTAGCGCTGGATTTCTTGTTGTTTGTCGTTTAAGACAATTACTTTGTCCGTGTACTACTAGCATATCAACCAAGGATTGGATGATGGAGTTTAATAATTGTAAAAATATCATCGATTTTTTAACCCAAATCGTTTCAGTAATGAACGATTTCAAAATGTTCCCAGAAACCACATTGATACAACCAACAAAAATCAGAAACGCTCTGCTTTCTTAAGTCGTCTACTTATGGCATTGTTTTCGCACTCACCATTAGTAAACTTCTCATCGGCCTTCTGATTCTTGGCCGCCAGGAGCCCTTCGAAGACCTCTTTGATGCCATTAGTTGCATAGGCTACATCCATGAACATATCCTCGATCTTGAGATTGGCGTGGTCCTTCACATTGTACGTTGCGCGGAGCTGAGAGTGGCCAAATCTGTTAGCAGCAGTAGCAAAGCTGTTGTACAGCCCTGCATCAACGGAGGCGTCATAGGCATATGTAGTGCCGAGGTCAAAAGCATCGTAGAAATCGTCTCCAAGGATCAGAGGCAACCAGTCCTTGTAAGTGATATGTTGTATGGCAGCAATGACAATACGGCGAGCTTCCTGGTAGAGAAGTTCATCGTCATATTCAGTGTGTACATTGGCAAGACCCCCTGCAATCCTGTTATGTTCCTTTACCCACAGCGTATGCGTGGCTGTCAGACCAGCGAAGACATTGACCCGCCAGTCGCCTGAAACAAGTGTGTTTGTTTGTTGTTTAACGCCGCACTCAGACATATTCAAGCTATATGACGGCGTTTTGAAAATAATCGAGTCTGGACCAGACAATCCAGTGATGGACATCATGTGCATCGATCTACTCAACTGGGACACGATGACATGCATCAACCAAGTCAGCGAGCTGATCCCGTTAATAGTCGCCTCTTACGACAAGCAGGGGTTGCTCAAACCGGTTCTTCATGAGGGGCCTGTAACTGGTGATTGGGTGGCTGAAAAACGTAATGCGGTCTCAGGCATTTACCCCGGAATATGATTATCTATGACAGCAGGTCGCAGCTGTGTTTCCAAACTAGTGGACGACTGTTTCAAGTTTCCAATGTCTGTTCCTATGAGTGAGTGAGTGAGTGAGTGAGTGAGTGTGGTTAACGCCGCTTTTAGCAATATTCCAGCAATATCACGGCGGGGGACACCAGAAATCACATATTTCAAGTACCAGCACAGAATAAAAGGATTGTGTACAGTTATATGTCATTACGACTTAATATCCTCCAAAAATGTTTTTGATAGTGTAACGATATGATGCTTTATTATGCTTGAAAGTGAGATTGGCCAGTCGGATAGCAGAAATACTAAACCTATATGAGCCCGTATACCGCCAGTAAAAATCCAAGAGGGTTGTTATTTACCTAATGTGAAATCGTGCACCGTCAACAAAAGTCATCTTGGATTATTCAACACCCACCTCTCATATTTCACATGAAAATTTCGTTACAGAAATTCTTATTCGACACTGTTTGGTATTTTAATTTCATTAATTGTGATGTGCAAAACACGTTAATGTTTAGAAATTTCAACGTTTGGCTCTAAGGTTTAAAGAGTAGTCTCCCTTTAACCCTTAACGTCAACGGTTGTAAGTGTCAAGTTTTCATTTTGATAAAGATAGCAGATAGTGTAAACGTTTCGGCATAATACATTCTGTATGCTTCTGCAGTTGTCATCTTTGGTGTCATATTAGATCACAAGAAACATTCTGCCGCCTGTCCAATATTTTTCTGATCACCTAATATGACAGTATACGGTAACTGAAGACACTATAACTGATAATATAACCCTTTTAGAAGCACCATTTTATTCAATAGATATTGTACTATGCGTCTAAAAAAATGACCAAACACGTCTTCTGCTTAATAAATAAATATATAAATGATATATACTCATCCAATAAGAATGACATGTAAAATACCTACCAGCATCCGGGCACTTATTCCCGGATCTCTGTAGGCAAAACGTCTTGTCGGAAGTTGGCAGGTTGTCGCCCCCAGAAGTGGTTTTCAGCAAACCTGCATGATGACAGAGCATGTTCAGGATTAAAGTGAACAAAACCCTTTCCATAATCATAAGAAATATTCGCTTAAATCAGAGTCCGTTGTACGGTTCCGACTGTGCCATAAGCATGTGTTTATGAATCACTCTCACAAAGTGATAATACAAGGTGTTCGCGAAAACAAACACGGCAACATGAGGTACAAGTCAAAATAAAGAATAGCATCAGGCGTACTTTTGCTCAATGATGCGTCAAATTTGAAAATGTCAAACAACTTTTGTTTTATTTTCGAAGAAGGAGCATGCACGAGTGTACCTCAAAAGTGTAATGTAATGAAATGTAGAAGGTGAGTTGAAATGGGGTTTAACGTCATACCAAAAGACGTTAAAAGATGGTACTTGTTGTTACCCTGTTTGGCGCTCAGCATGAAGGGGCTAAAACAAGGACTGGTCGGCTCGGAGTCAGTATACTGTGTCTGAGTGGGGTATTCATGGTAAACTGAGGCATGGTATCTCAGTGTGCTGGCACTATAAATCAGCATCAGTCCGGACTAGTACAAGCAGCCACACACACACACACACACACACGTGCATGCACGTCATGTAACGATGCTGTGCGTTATGGATAAAATGGTTTCATACACATACGTATTAATCACATTTCCTGCACAGAATGCGTGGGTGTCTCGGATTATACTTACCATCTGATTTGGTTCTTAATTCGTCCGCCTCCTCAACTGAGCCTCCGTAGACGGTGCTGGCGTCGATGTAGGAGGTGAGGATGTTGAACTGTTCCCGAGGTGACGTGTCTGTAGAACGTGGTGAGGAGTGAGTGAGTAAATATATATTTGCAGAAAGAAGTAGAGGATAGTGGCAATCATCCTGACACATCTGATCTATTATGGTATTGGCAACTGAAAATGATATGATCGGCTGGTGGGGAGTAAATTTAATGGGTTATGATGATTGGTTTGATGATATTGTAGCGGAAAAGGGGTCGGGGTCACATTTGAAATTTGCCTTGGCAGCCAACGCCATTAACATCGGATAAAACCACCTCTGATATGAAAGAATTCTTCCAGCTAGCTTCTTATCTGTTTGATTCATGTTGTGTCCACTCGTCAGTGAGAGCAACACCGAGTTCATTAAGAGTGGTGGGTAGAATTTGACGTTGACGTATACGTCTGCCAAAGACGTTGCAGACATGTTCAAAAGAGGAAAGGTCAGGACAGAGTGTTGGTCATGGCATGACATGGATGTTTTGCTGTTGGAGGAATTGGGCAACAATCGTTGCACGATGAGCACGTGCATTATCATCTTGAAAGATGGAACGTGGTGAAATGTTGTCCCGATGGTATTGACCCGTGACTCTTTTATACCACCCATGCCATAATGGACCTACCCCCAAAATGATCATGCTGTATGACGAAAACGTCCATAAAACGCTCATTGAGACGTCTCCAAACTCGATTCATTTGGTCATCGAAGTCTAGAGTTAACCTGGATTCTCCGGCAACATGATAATCCCAGTGATGGCGTTCCCTACATACTGACGCCACTGATTCAAATGACGTGCATGTAGGTTGTGGGATGACACATGGACGTCGGGCATGTACTCTCACACCAGTTGTCTGTTGCAACCAGTCCCTCATCTGTGTGGCAGTTTGCAACGGTTTTCTTAATGTCATCGTTTTAACTTATCTGTCCTGGGCTAAACAACAGTATTCTGACGTGTGCCCACCAGAAAAATGGCACGTAAATGCTTTGCACGTTGAAAAACCTCGCGTGGTAAAAGTCCCAGACCTAAGTGATCGCCTCCGTGGTGTAGTGGACGGAGCGTCTGCCCGGAAAGCGGATTTCCGTTGTTCGAATCCCGGCCGCGCCATAATAAAAGACGTCAAAAGATGGTACTTGTTGTTATCCTTCCTGACGCTCAGCATTACGATATGAAACAAGGACTTTGTGGCATAGTTTCTCAGTGGGCTAGCACCATAAAACTAGCATCAGTCCGGACGAGTGGAAACCTAATTTCACCTCACATCACTCTGACCTAAGTTCCGGTAGGGTCAACCGCGCTATGCTGACATTGATATAGCTAAACAATATGTTCAAATGATGTTAAACTCGCTAATGCGTTCCTTCTGTAACTTTGACAAACATGGAACAGCCGTATTAAATACGTTTAACAACGTATATCTTTAAGGTTCTATTTTTCTTGCAGTGACATTAAACTTAAACACGTCCATCTCAACAGAACTGAACATCACACAAAGAACGGAAATTTAAGGACGATAATATTCCATGAGGGTCTAGTGCAAGACTGTATACAACATCTGTAGTGGTAGATAAGTAATACTTACTATGTGGGGAGGCTGCAGAGCGGGTGAATGCCAGACATTCGTTAAAGTAACGATCTCCGGACGGTATAACGATAGGGAAGCAATTCCCACTGAAAATAGAACATGTTTCGGCCTTAGAGTCTTAAACTGTATCGTTCAATGCTCAAACGAAATCTGTTGAAGATAAAATAATTCTAAAACATTTTTACAGCATATATTTTGCGAAGATTGTTTTCGTGATGTGGACCAATAATGTCACGAGAATATCATATGTTCTGTCCTCCAAAGGGAAAAAATAAATTATTATATAATATCGTTATCATATCGTTGGATATATTGTATCGTTTTGTGTGGTGAATAGGAGCATATTCTCAAATATTGCTTATAGGGAATGTCATACTCAGAGTCGTAATCGGGATGCTTGCCGTCGCTGTCCAATCCTGTACAGCATCCAGTTTCTTATAACAGATGAGAACATGACAATGAAATATATTGTGAACGGTTGTAAGTATTCTTGATCATAACGGGTCGAGGGGCGGTCGGGTAGCCCAGTGGTTAAAGCGTTCGCTCGTTACGCCGAAGACCCGGGTTCGAATTCCGACATGGGTACAATGTGTGAAGCCCATTTTCTGGTGTCCCCCGCCGTGCTATTGCTGAAATACTGCTTAAAGCGGCGTAAAACCATACTCACTCACTCATAACGGGCCGATTGAGTGTATGACTTTCACAGGGGGCAATGTAAGGAAAGGGGGATCATGAGAAAAGAGGAGAATATTATCTGAGATATTGCCAAAAAGGTGTTTAGGGTGTGAGGGTGAAGTTAATATTTTTACATGTAGATGAGGTAAAGGTATATTGCTGCAGGTAGAAAGAGGTAAAGGGGATATTGTTTTAGGTAGAAAGAGGTAAAGGGGATATTGTTTTAGGTAGAAATAGGTAAAGGGGATATAGTTTTAGGTAAAAGAGGTAAAGAGGATATAGTTTTAGGTAGAAAGAGGTAAAACGGATATTGTTGTAGATAGAAAGAGGTACAGGGGATATAGTTGTAGATAGAAGGAGGTAAAGGGATATTGTTGTAGATAGAAAGAGGTAAAGGGGATATTGATGTAGGTAGAAAGAGGTAAAGGGGATCTTCTTGTAGATAGAAAGATGTACAGGTGATATTGTTGTAGGTAGAAAGAGGTAAAGGGGATATTGTTGGAGGTAGAAAGAGGTAAAGGGATATTGTTGTAGATGGAAAGAGGTAAAGGCATATTGTTGTAGATGGAAAGAGGTAAAGGGATATTGTTGTAGATGGAAAGAAGTAAAGGGGATATTGTTGGAGGTAGAAAGAGGTAAAGGGGATATTGTTGTAGGTAGAACGAGGTACAGGTGATATTGTTGTAGATGGAAAGAGGTACAGGTGATATTGCTGTAGATAGAAAGAGGTACAGGTGATATTGTTGTAGGTAGAAAGAGGTAAAGGGATATTGTTGAAGGTAGAAAGAAGTAAAGGGGATATTGTTGTAGGTAGAAAGAGGTAAAGGGGATCTTCTTGTAGATAGAAAGAGGTAAAGGGGATATTGTTCGAGGTAGAAAGAGGTAAAGGGATATTGTTGGAGGTAGAAAGAGGTAAAGCGGATATTGTTGTAGATAGAAAGAGGTAAAGGGATCTTCTTGTAGATAGAAAGAGGTACAGGTGATATTGTTGTAGGTAGAAAGAGGTAAAGGGATATTGTTGTAGATGGAAAGAGGTAAAGGGATATTGTTGTAGATGGAAAGAGGTAAAGCGGATATTGTTGTAGATAGAAAGAGGTAAAGGGATATTGTTGTAGATAGAAAGAGGTACAGGTGATATTGTTGGAGGTAGAAAGAGGTAAAGGGATATTGTTGTAGATGGAAAGAGGTAAAGGGATATTGTTGTAGATGGAAAGAGGTAAAGGGATATTGTTGTAGATAGAAAGAGGTAAAGGGATATTGTTGTAGATAGAAAGAGGTAAAGGGATGTTGTTGTAGATAGAAAGAGGTAAAGGGGATATTGTTGTAGGTAGAAAGAGGTACAGGGGATATTGTTGGAGGTAGAAAGAGGTAAAGGGGATATTGTTGGAGGTAGAAAGAGGTAAAGGGGATATTGTTGGAGGTAGAAAGATGTAAAGGGGATATTGTTGGAGGTAGAAAGAGGTACAGGGGATATTGTTGGAGGTAGAAAGAGGTAAAGGGGATATTGTTGGAGGTAGAAAGAGGTAAAGGGGATATTGTTGGAGGTAGAAAGAGGTAAAGGGGATATTGTTGGAGGTAGAAAGAGGCACAGGGGATATTGTTGTAGATGGAAAGAAGTAAAGGGGATATTGTTGTAGGTAGAAAGAGGTGAAGGGGATATTGTTGTAGATGGAAAGAGGTAAAGGGATATTGTTGTAGATGGAAAGAGGTAAAGGGATATTGTTGTAGATAGAAAGAGGTAAAGGGATATTGTTGTAGATAGAAAGAGGTAAAGGGATGTTGTTGTAGATAGAAAGAGGTAAAGGGGATATTGTTGTAGGTAGAAAGAGGTACAGGGGATATTGTTGGAGGTAGAAAGAGGTAAAGGGGATATTGTTGTAGGTAGAAAGAGGTAAAGGGGATATTGTTGTAGGTAGAAAGAGGTACAGGTGATATTGTTGTAGAGTGAAAGAGGTACAGGTGATATTGCTGTAGATAGAAAGAGGTACAGGTGATATTGTTGTAGGTAGAAAGAGGTAAAGGGATATTGTTGAAGGTAGAAAGAGGTAAAGGGGATATTGTTGTAGGTAGAAAGAGGTAAAGGGGATCTTCTTGTAGATAGAAAGAGGTAAAGGGGATATTGTTGAAGGTAGAAAGAGGTAAAGGGGATATTGTTGTAGGTAGAAAGAGGTAAAGGGGATCTTCTTGTAGATAGAAAGAGGTAAAGGGATATTGTTGGAGGTAGAAAGAGGTAAAGCGGATATTGTTGTAGATAGAAAGAGGTAAAGGGATCTTCTTGTAGATAGAAAGAGGTACAGGTGATATTGTTGTAGGTAGAAAGAGGTAAAGGGATATTGTTGTAGATGGAAAGAGGTAAAGGGATATTGTTGTAGATGGAAAGAGGTAAAGGGATATTGTTGTAGATAGAAAGAGGTAAAGGGATATTGTTGTAGATAGAAAGAGGTAAAGGGATATTGTTGTAGATAGAAAGAGGTAAAGGGGATAGTGTTGGAGGTAGAAAGAGGTACAGGTGATATTGTTGTAGGTAGAAAGAGGTAAAGGGATATTGTTGTAGATGGAAAGAGGTAAAGGGATATTGTTGTAGATGGAAAGAGGTAAAGGGATATTGTTGTAGATAGAAAGAGGTAAAGGGATATTGTTGTAGATAGAAAGAGGTAAAGGGATGTTGTTGTAGGTAGAAAGAGGTACAGGGGATATTGTTGGAGGTAGAAAGAGGTAAAGGGGATATTGTTGGAGGTAGAAAGAGGTAAAGGGGATATTGTTGGAGGTAGAAAGAGGTAAAGGGGATATTGTTGGAGGTAGAAAGAGGTACAGGGGATATTGTTGGAGGTAGAAAGAGGTAAAGGGGATATTGTTGGAGGTAGAAAGAGGTAAAGGGGATATTGTTGGAGGTAGAAAGAGGCACAGGGGATATTGTTGTAGATGGAAAGAAGTAAAGGGGATATTGTTGGAGGTAGAAAGAGGTAAAGGGGATATTGTTGGAGGTAGAAAGAGGTACAGGGGATATTGTTGGAGGTAGAAAGAGGTAAAGGGGATATTGTTGGAGGTAGAAAGAGGTAAAGGGGATATTGTTGGAGGTAGAAAGAGGCACAGGGGATATTGTTGTAGATGGAAAGAAGTAAAGGGGATATTGGTGTAGGTAGAAAGAGGTAAAGGGGATATTGTTGTAGATGGAAAGAGGTAAAGGGATATTGTTGTAGATGGAAAGAGGTAAAGGGATATTGTTGTAGATAGAAAGAGGTAAAGGGATATTGTTGTAGATAGAAAGAGGTAAAGGGATGTTGTTGTAGATAGAAAGAGGTAAAGGGGATATTGTTGTAGGTAGAAAGAGGTACAGGGGATATTGTTGGAGGTAGAAAGAGGTAAAGGGGATATTGTTGGAGGTAGAAAGAGGTAAAGGGGATATTGTTGGAGGTAGAAAGAGGTAAAGGGGATATTGTTGGAGGTAGAAAGAGGTACAGGGGATATTGTTGGAGGTAGAAAGAGGTAAAGGGGATATTGTTGGAGGTAGAAAGAGGTAAAGGGGATATTGTTGGAGGTAGAAAGAGGTAAAGGGGATATTGTTGGAGGTAGAAAGAGGCACAGGGGATATTGTTGTAGATGGAAAGAAGTAAAGGGGATATTGTTGTAGGTAGAAAGAGGTAAAGGGGATATTGTTGTAGATAGAAAGAAGTGAAGGGGATATTGTTGTAGATGGAAAGAGGTAAAGAGGATATTGTTGTAGATAGAAAGAGGTAAAGGGACATTGTTGCAGGTAGATAGAGGTATAGGAAATCTTATTGCAGGCAAAAAGAAATAATAAAATTATCGTAGCAGATAGAAAGAGATCAGGGGAATATTCTTGCAAAAAGGAAAATATAATATTGTTGCAGGTAAAACGATATGAAGAGAATATTTTTTTAGATAAAAAGAGGTTTTGAACATATTGATGTAGGCAGAAAGAGATCAAGTTAATAATGTTGCAATCAGAAAGAGATAAAGGATATATTTTCTCAGATAGAAAGAAGTAAAGGGGATATAGTTGCAGGAGGTATATTTAAACTTTCTTACTCTTTGTCTTTGGTGTGCCAGCAAAATCGTGAGCCATGAACTGCCCCCACTGCATGACAAGCTGGTTCAACGTTGGCTCCAGACTACTGTCACTGTCGGCGGAGAAACACCCAACACTAACCGCCCTGGCACTAGGTAGACCATTCAACCGAGGTTTTCCTGTAGCTGTTAGTGAAATTAACTTAACTCGTTCAGTTATATGTGGAGACCTTCATGGATACACATATACAAATATATAAAATTACCATCTTTATGAACGATATTGAAGTTTCAAAACAGAATATTGTTGAAATTTAATGTGATCATTTAAAGTAAATGACAAAAGACTGGCACTGGGTAGACCCTTCAACTGAGGCTTTCCTCTAGCTGTGAGTGCCATTAACTCGTTCAGGTATATATGGAGATCTTCATGTAAACATGTATATATAAATACCGTCTTTATGAATTACATTGAAGCTTTAAAAGAAATATATTGTTGAAATTTATTGTTTACATTTAAAGTAAATAACAAATTTTAAAATAGTTCAATGAAAATTGTGATACATAGAAAATATGTACCATTAACACATTGAGTTGAAAATAAAGTTTTATGTAATTTTACTTAAGCATAATGTACTTTCATATTTCTAAACCCATTTTTACGGACACATACAGTCATCATAGGCTGCATTGATGAGTCTCCTCATGTCCTGTAGAGGCGCTCCCCATCCTGGGTTGTTGAGGTTGTTGCAGATTCCACTTTCTGGGCGGAAGATGAAGTCGTCCACGCAGGAGCTGGAGTTGTAATCAGGTATTAGGTGAAAATAGCAACAAGTGCATACTTTCAACTAGAGTTTGGTGCAAACATAATTAGCAGGTACAACTGCGCTTGTCAAATAGTGTTACTCTCATATTTACGACATTTATTAACGTCAACACTTTCATATTTTCATTATGTTTTTACAATATCCAGTGTGACTAATTTGAACTTATCGACAATTTACCATTCCTGGGATGTTTGTGAGAGGCAGAATATTTGTTCCAGCATGTCCAGAAAAGGCTTACATGTTTTTCTAACAACCTCTGGCTATAAGGTCTACAGTATGGACCTTTAGCGATATTTGACCACTCTGAAAATGGCTCTCGTAGATGAGATTATCTATCAACATAACGTGACATAAATAACAGATAGGTTTAGTAAATATCGAATTCAATTGTTGATTTGTCAAAAAATAGAGAAATTTGGATTACGAATGTGATTTTAAACTTTTGAGATTTTCTGCTTTCAAAGCAAGAACTTCGACGTTGGTTTGCGAGGGCGATGTTGTTTTCCATTACTTTTAATGGTGTTTGTTTGTTTGTTTGTTTGTTTAACGCAGCACTGAGCAATATTCCAGTTATATTACAGCAGAAATCGAACCCTCGTCTTTAACGTAATATCTGAAGCCACTGTATTTGTGTACTACAAGTGTAGTTTGGAAACTACTTGAACATCTGACATCAAACAAAGGAGTTTCGTCTAAAATATAGTTTTATAAATGTCAATGTTATTTCACATTTACACAACAGTTTATCATGACGCTTTTCGTAGTGTGATGTATCGCATCCAACAACCTACCTGACCCTTGAGCTAAGGCGACCCTTCTCCCGAGTGACAATCTCACTAATTTTCGTTCCAGCGTGCCACACCCTCTCAGAAGCTGAAAAGACCAAAGACATTCCGAAGGGTATAATGCAAAGACCAGCTGTTTTGGCCTACTATTGTCCACACAAAGAAACAATTATTGGTATCGTCCATGTAAATATAAAATGTCCCTAGGCTCTCATGGGGCGCATAGTTGTTCTGTTAGTCCGGTAAAATCTACTGAGTGATTGAGTGAGTGAGTGAGTTGGGTTTAACAGTATTCCAGTTATATCACGGCGTGTCAGCTTAATGTGGGAGGAAAGCCCGAAGTGATGCAGGTCTCAGAAGTGATGCAGGTCTAGAAATATAATCGGGGCGAACAGGGATTTGAACCCCCAATCATAGGTTTCTGGCGTGCCCAAGGGCAACTCTGCACAACGAGTCGCGGCGCCTTAGACGACTGGGCCACCTGGGCCCCCTAGTCCGGTAATCTATATGACAAAGACCCCAAGAATACAGGTCCAGGAATCCCAGCGTTCGCCCCGATTATGATTCGTAGCTTGGATAGCTACATTATACAAGTCTTCATTGGATTCACCAAATTGGCAATCGTCTTCTTACTCCGTCTTTCTATGGACATTCCTCCAAAACATGCTGCTACATCGTGATGTAGTTGAAGTGGTGTCTAAGGCGGCCTTAAACCAAGACATACTCACTTTTGACATTGCTGACTAAAGAATAAAATTTGATATCCCAGACACACAAAAGATTCAGTTTGGAAACAGTAATAACCAGCGACCTAAGTGTAAAACTTGATTAGTGATTCCATTTCAATATGTTGTCATTCGTAACCGATGACGTTTCAAGGGTCTGCAAATTATTGTACTACAAATTTATTGTAGCGATATATCCTTGGAGATATCACTTCATCTCACTCAAGATATATCCCAAGATAAATCAACATCTCAGAGCAAATTAAATAAGGATAAGATATATGGATGAGCAACTTCTTTATTACAATTAGGAGCGACGTTTCGGTGTAGGTTCTAACACCGTTCAGAGCAAATGCAACGGTAGGAAAAACATCATTTCGAATTATAAAAATAAAATTGATACATAAACAATACTTACACGCAGCAACAACCCCCAAAACACAAACACTGATGAATGTATAGAGTAGCATTGTGTACGAAGTCTCCAACCACTGAGTCAGGTAAATTCACTCCGGTATATATAGTCATTAGAAGAATAGCCAAAGATAACAACGTGTCGCAGTATTATTACATATCCCTCATTTCGTTTCGCTTTTGTCTTCTTCAGAAACTTCTAGTTTTTAAAAACTTGAACACTGTCGTGTTTTTTAATTAAAACGAAATAAAATTGAAGTTTGGGATATCTGGAATGATTAATAACGGTGGTCTTTCACAATACCATATCGATTGCTTTACAGTCAGTCATATCAGTAGGGACATATCACCTAATTAATGGAAACATTTCAGTATTTTTTGTGATGTCTTTGCTAATTAAACGCAGATACTGTTGAAATACTTAGTATGGTTTTTGTTGGCTGCTAAAATAAGTGGAAAGTTAATTCTGATTCAATTCATAAAGGTATTGAAAAAAACTTGTACATTATTCTGGTGCGCTGTAGTGTATCACTGTCGACTGTGGCTCAGGTGATGTTACAATTTTGTATGTGTGTGTATGTGTGTGTATTCTTTCTCTGTGTGTGTGTGTGTGTGTGTCCTTTCTGTGTGTGTATATGTGTGTGTGTGCATGCGTGTGTGTGTGTGTGTGTGTGTGTGTGCGTGTGTGTGTATGTGTGTGTGCATGTGTGTATGTGTCTGTATGTGTGTGCGTGCATGCGTGTGTGTGTGGATGTGTGTGCGTGTATATATGTGTGTGTGCATGCGTGTATGTGTGTGTATGTATGTGTGTGTGTGCGTGTGTGTGCGTGCGTGTGTATGTATGTGTGTGTGCGTGCGTGTATGTATGTGTGTGTGCATGCGTGTGTGTGTGTGTGTGTGTGTGTGTGTGTGTGCGCGTGCGTGCGTGCGTGAGTGTGTGTGTGTGTGTGTGTGCGTGCGTGGGTGTGTGTACGTGTGTGTGTGTGTGTGTGTGTGTGTGTGTGTGCGTGCGCGTGCGTGCGTGCGTGAGTGTGTGTGTGTGTGTGTGTGCGTGCGTGGGTGTGTGTTCATTACAATTATAACGTATGAACAAGAGATCCTATATGATCACATGGTTACTATGATCAGTATTTATTAACCATAGTTTGCTTTAACTATCAGTGACGATGATTTGCTCTGAAAAAAGAGAGAGAGATTAAATGTTACTTTCTTACAAATAACTCTTACACTTTGTGTGAAACAAACGAGTGTAAGTTTGTCTTCATTCACTTTGTCTTCATTCACTTTGTCTTCATCCACATTACCGGAATATTTTCTGTAAATATTCAAACATTCAATATTTAAAATACATGACAACGAAAAGTCCTTTTTCAGTATTAACACAGTGGTAATGGCAGCCCACATGGCACGGTTTCACACTGGTTCATATCTTCAGATGCATCTGGTCACCTTGCATTTTCATTGTCTAATTTTGTTTTAAAAAACGAAATAAATCTGGAGTTTCGTATATGTGGAAGGACTGACAACAATGGCAGAGTCATATCTGTGGCTTGGCAGTGGCCAATTATGTCGGTACATATGAATAAAGTGACAAAACCCATTCCATATCTCAATAGAAATCCCTGCATGAAGCAGAGTCGCTGAGCTAATAAATAGCTACATTCCAGTTAACGTTTGTTAATTAAACGCAAAAACTGTTGATGAATCTTTTGCCAGGTGTGGTCATTGTTTGTTGCTTAATAACAGATTCAGAAGGTTATTAAAAAAATGTTCTTGTTCGACGTGGTATATTACTGTCAACTGTGGCACAAAAGATTGGGGCTGGGAGGGTGTGTCTGTATGTGTGTGTGCGTGCGTGCGTGCGTGCGTGCGTGCGTGCGTGCGTGCGTGTTAAAGAGTTAAAATATACAACATTCCTTTACATACAAATAAATCATTACAATTATAACGTATGAACAAGAGATCTTATATGATCACATGGTTACTATGATCAGTATTCATTAACCATAGTTTGCTTTAACTATCAGTGACGATGATTTGCTTTGAAGTAAACTGTCAAACAAAGGTTTTATATCACACTGTTGTATACTGTGGTTCATCACAGTCAACGGGTTTATATCACACTGTTATATACTGGGTTTCATTACAGTCAATGGGTTTCTATCACACTGTTACATACTGGGTTTCATTACAGTCAACGGGTTTATATCACACTGTTGTATACTGTGTTTCATCACAGTCAACGGGTATATATCACACTGTTATATACTGGGTTTCATAACAGTCAACGGGTTTATATCACACTGTTGTATAATGCGGTTCATTACAGTCAACGGGTTTATATCACACTGTTGTATACTGCGGTTCATCACAGTCAACGGGCTTACATCACACGATTATGCACTGGTGTTCATCACAGTCAATGGGCTTATATAACACTGTTATATTCTGGGGTTCATAACAGTCAACGGATTTATATCACACTGTTGTGTGATGTGGTTCATCTAAGTCAACGTGTATATATCACACTGTTATATACTGGGTTTCATTACAGTCAACGGGTTTATATCACACTGTTACATACTGGGTTTCATTAAAGTCAACGGGTTTATAACCCACTGCTGTATACTGTGGTTCATCACAGTCAACGGGTTTATATCACACTGTTGTATACTGTGGTTCATTACTGTCAACGGGTTTACATCACACGATTATGTACTGATGTTCATCACAGTCAATGGGCTTATATCACATTGTTATATTCTGAGGTTCATCACAGTCAACGGATTTATATCACACTGTTGTATACTGTGGTTCAACTAAGTCAACGTGTATATATCACACTGTTATATACTGGGTTTCATTACAGTCAACGGGTTTATATCACACTGTTACATACTTGGTTTCATAACAGTCAACGGGTTTATATCACACTGTTATATACTGGGTTTCATTACAGTCATATAGAATACTAAACGAGCACCCGTGTAATACCAATTTTACGAAACTCGTGAATAGTTCTGGTATCTGACTCGCTTTCCAGTCAATGGTTTTATACTGTGGTTCATCTAATTCAACGTGTATATATCACACTGTTATATACTGGGTTTCATTACAGTCAACGGGTTTATATCACACTGTTATATACTGGGTTTCATTACAGGCAACGGGTTTATATCACACTGTTATATTCTGGGGTTCATCACAGTCAACTGGTTTTTATCACACTAATATATACTGGGTTTCATTACAGTCAACGGGTTTATATCACACTGTTATATACTGGGTTTCATTACAGTCAACGGGTTTATATCACACTGTTACCTACTGTGGTTCATCACAGTCAACGGGTTTATATCACACTGTTGTATACTGTGGTTCATCACTGTCAAGGGCTTATACCACACGATTATATCCTGGGTTTCATCATGATCATGATCATAAACCTGAATTTGTATAGGCTTTTTACTTTGGTAAAAATGAGTAACACATCTTCAATAGTATAAATCAAATCCAACAAAACTTCCTATCAAGTCATCCAGGCATGTCACGGGCACATTTTCAACTGCATTTCCATATTCAAGGCCGCAAACAATCTTATATTAAAGAAATCGCTTATTCAGTCTTATTAGGACTTTTCCTTTACAAAACCTACAACGTTGGTCTGTATGTTTGTTAAGTGACAAAGGAAAAGTGTTTACATCATCACTTTGAGCAATTCAAACATGCAGTCTTACAAGGTAAGCTTTATATCAGCTATATTCAACAGCTTCAGTCAAACGAAAGAATGCTTTATTTTCGTTAAAAATGCACGACGTGTTTTAAATTGAAGAGTATGAAGAGGCGTAAAACATGTGATTGTGTGTTGTTGTTTTTCATAAATATCAAACAGTTAAATTTCAAAGTAAACAACTAATGCTAGTGCAGCTTTACCTATTTAGAGTCAATCAGTGGCTTGTTACAGTCGTTTGCTGTAGTATAAATAACACTGTATAATCACTAATAGTTGTGTGATTGGGTGTGTTTGAAGGGGTCAGTTTGTGTGGATGGTGTGTCAGAGTGTGTGGATAGTGCGTCAGGGTGTGTGGATGGTGGGTCAGGGTGTTAGGATGGTGCGTCAGGGTGTGTGAATGATGTGTCAGAGTGTGTTGATGGTGGGTAAGAGTGTGTGATGGTGTTTCAGGGTGTGTGGATGGTGTGTCAGGGTGTGTGGATGCCGTGTCAGGGTGTGTGGATGGTGCGTCAGGGTGTGAGGATGGTGCGTCAGAGTGTGTGGATGGTGTGTCAGAGTGTGTGGATGGTGTGTCAGAGTGTGTGGATGGTGTGTCAGAGTGTGTAGATGGTGTGTCAGAGTGGGGATTGTGTGTCAGAGTGTGTTGATGGTGTGTCAGAGTGTGTGGATGGTGCGTCAGAGTGTGTGGATGGTGTGTCAGGGTGTGTTGACGGTGCGTCAGAGTGTATGGATTGGATTGTGTGTCAGGGTGTGAGGATTGTGTGTCAGGGTGTGAGGATGGTGCGTCAGAGTGTGTGGATTGAATTGTGTGTTAGAGTGTGTGGATGGTGTGTCAGAGTGTGTGGATTGGATTGTGTGTCAGGGTGTGAGGATTGTGTGTCAGGGTGTGAGGATGTTGGTCAAAGTGTGTGGATGGGATTGTGTGTCAGGGTGTGAGGATTGTGTGTCAGGGTGTGAGGATGGTGCGTCAGAGTGTGTGGATTGAATTGTGTGTCGGGGTGTGTGGATGGTGTGTCAGAGTGTATGGATGGTGCGTCAGGATGTGTGGATGGTGTTTCAGATTGTGTGGATGGTGTGTCAGAGTGTGTTCACGGTGCGTCAGAGTGTGTGGATTGGATTGTGTGTCAGGGTGTGAGGATGGTGGTCCAAGTGTGTGGATGGTGTGTCAGAGTGTGTGGATGGTGTGTCAGAGTGTGTGGATGGTGTGTCAAAATGTGTGGATTTGATTGTGTGTCAGGGTGTGAGGATGGTGGTCAAAGTGTGTGGATGGTGTCTCAGAGTGTATGGATGGTGTGTCAGAGTGTGTGGATGGTGTGTCAGTTTGTTTGGATTATGCGTCAGGGTGTGTGTATGGTGTGTCAGATTGTGTGGATGGTGTGTCAGTGTTTTCACGGTGCGTCAGAGTGTGTGGATTGGATTGTGTGTCAGGGTGTGAGGATGGTGGTCAAAGTGTGTGGATGGTGTGTCAGAGTGTGTGGATGGTGTGTCAGAGTGTGTGGATGGTGTGTCAGGGTGTGTGGATTGGATTGTGTGTCAGAGTGTGTGGATGGTGTGTCAGGGTGTTTAGATGGTGTGTCAGGGTGTGAAGATGGTGTGTCAGAGTGTGTGGATAGTGTGTCAGGTTGTGTTGATTGTGTGTCAGAGTGTGTGGATGGTGTGTCAGAGTGTGTGGATGGTGTGTCAGAGTGTGGATTGTGTGTCAGAGTGTGTGGATGGTGTGTCAGGGTGTGTGGATGGTGTGTCAGAGTGTGTGGATGGTGCGTCAGAATGTGTGGATGGTGTGTCAGTGTGTGTGGATGGTGTGTCAGGGTGTGTGGATGGTGTGTCACGTTGTGAGGATGGTGCGTCAGAGTGTGTGGATGGTGTGTCAGAGTGTGTGGATGGTATGTCAAAATGTGTGGATTTGATTGTGTGTCAGAGTGTGAGGATGGTGTGTCAAAGTGTGTGGATGGTGTCTCAGAGTGTATGGATGGTGTGTCAGAGTGTGTGGATGGTGTGTCAGTTTGTTTGGATTATGCGTCAGGGTGTGTGTATGGTGTGTCAGATTGTGTGGATGGTGTGTCAGTGTTTTCACGGTGCGTCAGAGTGTGTGGATTGGATTGTGTGTCAGGGTGTGAGGATGGTGGTCAAAGTGTGTGGATGGTGTGTCAGAGTGTGTGGATGGTGTGTCAGAGTGTGTGGATGGTGTGTCAGGGTGTGTGGATTGGATTGTGTGTCAGAGTGTGTGGATGGTGTGTCAGGGTGTTTAGATGGTGTGTCAGGGTGTGAAGATGGTGTGTCAGAGTGTGTGGATAGTGTGTCAGGTTGTGTGGATTGTGTGTCAGAGTGTGTGGATGGTGTGTCAGAGTGTGTGGATGGTGTGTCAGAGTGTGTGGATGGTGTGTCAGGGTGTGTGGATGGTGTGTCAGAGTGTGTGGATGGTGCGTCAGAATGTGTGGATGGTGTGTCAGTGTGTGTGGATGGTGTGTCAGGGTGTGTGGATGGTGTGTCAGGTTGTGAGGATGGTGCGTCAGAGTGTGTGGATGGTGTGTCGGAAAGTGTGGATAGCTTGTCAGAGTGTGTGGATGGTGTGTCAGAGTGCGTGGATGGTGTGTCAGAGTGTGGATTATGTGTCAGAGCGTGTTGATGGTGTGTCCGATTGTGTGGATGGTGTGTCAGGGTGTGTGGATGGTGTGTCAGGGTGTGTGGATGGTGTGTCAGAGTGTGTGGATGGTGCGTCAGAATGTGTGGATGGTGTGTCAGTGTGTGTGGATGGTGTGTCAGGGTGTGTGGATGGTGCGTCAGGTTGTGAGGATGGTGCGTCAGAGTGTGTGGATGGTGTGTCGGAAAGTGTGGATAGCTTGTCAGAGTGTGTGGATGGTGTGTCAGAGTGCGTGGATGGTGTGTCAGAGTGTGGATTATGTGTCAGAGCGTTTTGATGTTGTGTCAGATTGTGTGGATGGTGTGTCAGGGTGTGTTGATGGTGTGTCAGAGTGTGTGGATGGTGTGTCAGGGTGTGTGGATGGTGTGTCAGGTTGTGAGGATGGTGCGTCAGAGTGTGTGGATGGTGTGTCAGGTTGTGTGGATTATGCGTCAGGGTGTGTGGATGGTGTGTCAGAGTGTGTGGATGGTGTGTCAGTGTTTTCACGGTGCGTCAGAGTGTGTGGATTGGATTTTGTGTCAGGGTGTGAGGATGGTGGTCAAAGTGTGTGGATGGTGTGTCAGAGTGTGTGGATGGTGTGTCAGAGTGTGTGGATGGTGTGTCAGAGTGTGGATTGTGTGTCAGGGTGTGTGGATGGTGTGTCAGGGTGTGTGGATGGTGTGTCAGGGTGTGAGGATGGTGTGTCAGGGTGTGTGGATAGTTTGTCACGTTGTGTGGATTGTGTGTCAGAGTGTGTGGATGGTGTGTCAGAGTGTGTGGATGGTGTGTCAGGGTGTGAGGATGGTGTGTCAGGGTGTGTGGATGGTGCATCATTTTTTGGGGGATGGTACGCTAATGTGTGAGGATGGTGTGTCAGGGTGTGAGGATCTTGTGTCAGGGTGTGTGAATGGTGCCTAAGGTTGTGTGGATGGTGCGACAAGGTGTGTGGATGGTGCGCCAAGGTGTTCTACCGGTGTGCTCTGGTTTGCTACCGTTCCTGCATGTGGCCATGACTTCGGCGCCTTCTGGTAGTCTAGTGGTGCGTAAGGGTTTGATGAAATGGTTTTGAATTATGATGAAACTTGCTTTTGATTTTTTTAAACAAAGGGATAGTATTTGAAACAAATTTTGTTTCAGAAGATATTCCTGAAGTTGATTAAATTTAAATGAAATTTATGTAGCAAATCATCGAATATAACATCGAATTCTAACAACATCTGGTTTGCTACCGTTCCTGTATGTGGCCATGACTTGGGCGCCTTCTGGTAGTCTATTGGATAAGGCGTCAGCCAGGACAGCGGCAGTCGGTGGTTCGATCCCCTTCCTACAAATCTGTTTAGCAAGCAAATACTCTCAAGAGGGGTACCCCGTGAGCACCCTGATCCGAATGGGCCCCGGCCTCCCCTGAGTCGATTGTAAAAGGCCTCTTAATTCAACTGATGGCTGGGCGTTATGCCTCGGTTGATGGCAATTACCTATACGTTGCCTGTTTCATTTCTCTTATTAACAACTATTTTCGGCCTTTCCTGTGGCTATGACTTCTGTGTTGGTTTATGGGAACCGTCTCCGTCGTCTGATGGACAGGGAGTCTGCCGGGGAGCGGAAAGACGGCCGTTCGACTGCCCGTCCGCCTCATACCAACAGATGTTCAAATATTATACCCTGGTGCTCGGCATTAAGGGATACAACAAGGACTGGAGTACTGTGTCTGAGTGAAGTGCCCATGTTAAACTGCGGCATGATATCTGAGCGCTATAAGTCCCCACCTATACAAACAACTTTAAACCCCCCTCAAACCCTATTTCTCCCTACCTCACATGAAGCAGTATCACGATTGAGACCACAAAGAAATGACTTCACAAATGGGTGTACCACAACGTGAAAACCCTTAATACAACAAAGAAGATTGTTTGCTGCTGAAATATTTTTTATTTCTTCCGGATTCTAAGTGGTTGACATTACTGGAGAGTCTCTCAGGACAATTAAAATATGGAAAAGTCAAGGTCGCCAAGACTGCTGCAGCTGATTTCTCCGTTAGACCTGAAATGATTCAAACGTTATTTTTTATTATCAGCAGGAACCACTGGCACCATATATACACTTTTGCTTGTATTTTTCACAAACGTCTTCATTACCCAGCCGATTATTTTCACAAAGGATAATATAGAAATTATGACAAGGAATATTATGGATAGCAACTTATTTGGAGTAAGCAGGGTGCGAGAACATGACACACACAAACAAATACAAATGAATCTAGTTTAATTATAATCTTATAAGCAAAGCCAGTTGTATCTATATGTCATGTTCTCCAATCCTGCCATTCACTTGATCAAGGGGCGAGAAGTAGCCCTGAAACGTTGTGTAAGTACAATAAAGAAGCTATTATCCATAACAGTATTCAAATCTTTGTCGTATCACGTCTCTTTTAGTAGTCCTTGTCGTAATAATATACAATTTCCAAATGCTATTATAGACATTCTGCAACCAAACACGTTTTCTCGCTTTTATATGAAAATAATGAAGTGGAAATCTGTCAAGTTTGTAAAGTACTTGTTAAAGAAAATTTCTTGGTGCTAACATCGGTTTTCGGAAAATTAGATTGCTGAAAAATGCTGAAATGCTGAAAGAAATGCCTCACAAAAGAAAGTTTCGCTAGATATGCAATTTGTATGTCTTCGGGAAAAACAACGGTGAATTTAACCTATGACACCAACCACGTATGCTTTAAGAGTAAAGTATTCTTACGTTGCGTCTGGGATGCTGAAGGCGTCGGGCTGGATGGATTTTATGCCGGTGTTGGTACAGATCACACGAGCCAGAGTTATTTTGTCGATCTCGGCTAGTTGATCTGTAAAACAGTATGACAATATTGAACGTGCATCGAATGGGACAAACAGGGAACATGTGCATCATTCTGTCAAATAACATGTTGAATGCTTGTCGCAATGAGGGGCCGTTCTTTCCTAAATTTTGTCAAACAAGCAAATACTCCCAAGAGGGGTACCCGGTGGTGACCCGGATCCGGTGCACCAGTGTTGATGGCAAGAAGCCACGGAATGGAGCCGATGGCGAGGCTGTGTGCCTCGGGTAGTGGCGTGCGACGTGCTACGATCAGTACCTAGGTACTAGTACCTGTTCCCTGTTTCTCAACAACTACGTTTCACAGATTTATATAAAAAACAGTTCAACACTTTAAATAATTACTAGAATATGTCTCGATGAATTATTTCGAACTGGATCAACTCCACAACACCCCTGGGCCCTCTTGCACAAAGCGATCTTAGCGCTGCGATGATCGTAACTCACATACTCTGACCTAGACTTAAGACAGTCGTAGCGCTAAGATCGCTTTGTGCAAGAGGGCCCTGTCAATTGCCAAGAAACAGATAACCGAGACCAACTGTTCGAGCATATGATGGATGTGTGATTGTCGTATAGTGGGGTAAATCCCGTTCCATATTCACAAGAAATCTCTGTCAAATGCAGAGTCGATTGTACTATTACGAATATATCCTGAACTCGTGTCTATAAATCACACCCATACTCATCACACATACCGTATTCGACGTAATAAGCGCCCAGGTATATCAGTCGTGGATAATGTAACAAAAGAGCCAACACATCCTCAAAGGTAACATTAAAGGACCCAAATGTGCATAGATCTAAAGTTAATCAACATTTAAGTAGGTGTTGCAAACAATCCTTGGACAGTTGCGAAACAATAGGAATACTCAAACGTTGTATTGGACCATGCCAGCATTTATCAGAGAAACCAGCTTGACTTGCCTGCTGTGAAACCAATAGTTGTATTGGTTGTCTCGTACCAGAATCGATCACCAGACCGTATGTCACTAAATTGCTGTCCCATTATGTAGGCAAAAGTTGGACCAACCACACCACCAGTAACAGGGGCCTCGTTCATAGCACCTGCGTATAGGTCGATTTTGCTTGTGTCCCTGAAAATAGAGATGTTGTTATTAACCTATGAAGCTACTCACGGGAATGATGCGACGACCTAGGCCATTATCATAAATTTCAGCTTGTAACATCTTCAGGTCGACTGGTGGTCAATTTTGTTTTAAATTTATTCAAACCTATTAATCTGTACAACTAAAAAACAAAAAGGAACTGCTTTTGAAACATGGAGGAAACACTCACGTGTACACAGAAGAAGCGCATGAAGGGTTTGTTGGTGTTGTAATAGTGATCGTTTTGTCGGTGGCGAACTGGATGGCCTTGTCCCGGAAGTCTGAGTAGGGGGGGAGGCCATGGTCCCGGCCTCGCTGTATGTTGAGGGCCAGGAGGTCTTTAGCCCCATTTACAGTCTGGACGTGCTCAAACAGATGATCAGTTACACCTGCCAAAACAATATGTATCTAAAAAGGAGTGCCAAGCGTGCTCAAACCGATGATCTGTCACATCTGTCAAAATTATATGTCTCTTAGCAGGAGTGCCAGGCGTGTTCAAACAGATGGTCAGTTACACCTGCCAAAACAATATGTATCTCAGCAGGGAAGCCAGACGTGCTTAAAAGGATGGTCAGTTACACCTGCCAAAACAATATGTATCTAAACAGGGAAGCCAGACGTGCTCAAAGGGATGGTCAGTCACACCTGCCAAAACAATATGTATCTCAGCAGGGAAGCCAGACGTGCTCAAAGGGATGGTCAGTCACACCTGCCAAAACAATATGTATCTCAACAGGGAAGCCAGACGTGCTCAAAGGGATGGTCAGTCACACCTGCCAAAACAATATGTATCTCAGCAGGGAAGCCAGACGTGCTCAAACAGACGGTCAGTCATACCTGCCAAAACAATAGGTATCTAAACAGGGAAGCCAGAGCACACGTACATGAACGTCGCAGTATAAGTGCAATAATCTTGAACGCGACGTTAAACCCTGTTTCACCTCACCTTAATTATTATAGGGATGGAAAAGTTGCAATAAAGAAAGGAAAAACATACAATTTGTAGCCGAAAGAAGCCTCTAGACAAGTCTGTAGTAATGAAATATATATTGTAGGGAGTCATATAGGCATGCAGAACAGGTAGGCTTAGTCTTTTGAAGGACTAGTCAAGATTGTCACTGGTGGATTCGTCAAACGGTCAGGCTCAGATTATATTATTAAGACGCAAGCGCAAGCGCAACTTGCATCAACTATATATAAGATAACTACTCGATAAATCGCAAAAGAGCTATGAAGAACGAAGCGGGGTTCATTTCACGATAAAACATCGTTCTATCATGGCGTCATTTCTGGAGATTCGAATATGCGCTTGCAACGAGATGACTTCATATATTGGATGACGTTATTTTTTAGAGGAAGTGCCAAGTGAGTTGTTCCCCATAGATGTAGTTTGGATAACCAGATAAACACAGTGGCCAAACGATCGCATCCAAAAGGGGAAGAGATATGAAAATAGGTATTGGGAGAAAAGTACAGATAATCATAAAATGGACTTGTCCGACATTGCCGAGGACGGATTCTATTCAGGGCGTCATCATTATTAAAATTGAGGTAACTATTTTTAAAGCTTGCATATTTTATCAGCATCCTTTAAGAGGCTGTACATAACGCTGATATCTCATATAAGAAATAAAAGACTCGTTGTCGTTGTTTACTTCTTAAATAACCAGTATCCTCAACCAGAGATCCGGTTTCACATAGAACCATGATTATATATAATTGTAAAAATATCATCGAATTTTTGACCCAAATCGTTTCAGTTATATACGATTTCAAAATGTTCCCAGAAACCACATTGATACAACCAACAAAAAATCAGAAACGCTCTGCTTTCTTAAGTCGTCTACCTATGGCATTGTTTTCGCACTCACCATTAGGAAACTTCTCATCGGCCTTCTGATTCTTGGCCGCCAGGAGCCATTCGAAGACCTCTTTGATGCCATTAGTTGCATAGGCTACATCCATGAACATATCCTCGATCTTGAGATTGGCATGGTCCTTCACATTGTATGTTGCGCGGAGCTGAGAGTGGCCAAATCTGTTAGCAGCAGTAGCAAAGCTGTTGTACAGCCCTGGATCAACGGAGGCGTCATAGGAATACGTAGTGCCGAGGTCAAAAGCATCGTAGAAATCGTCTCCAAGGATCAGAGGCAACCAGTCCTTGTAAGTGATATGTTGTATGGTAGCAATGACAATACGGCGAGCTTCCTGGTAGAGAAGTTCATCGTCCCAGCCAGTGTGTACATTGGCAAGACCCCTTGCAATCCTGTTATGTTCCTTTACCCACAGCGTATGCGTGGCTGTCAGACCAGCGAAGACATTGACCCGCCAGTCGCCTGAAACAAGTGTGTTTGTTTGTTGTTAAACGCCACACCCGTATACCGCAAGTAAAAATCCAAGATGGTTGTTATTTACCTAATGTGAAATCGTGCACCGTCAATTACAGTCATCTTGGATTATCCAACACCCACCTCACATATTTTACATGAAAATTTTGTTACAGAAATTCTTATTCGACACAGTTTGGTGTTAATTTCATTAATTGTGATGTGCAAAACACGTTAATGTTTAGAAATTTCAACGTTTGGCTCTATGGTTTAAAGAGAAGTCCCCCTTTAACCCTTAACGTCAACGGTTGTAAGTGTCAAGTTTTCATTTTGATAAAGATAGCAGATAGTGTAAACGTTTCGGCATAATACATTCTGTATGCTTCTGCAGTTGTCATATTAGATCAGCAGAAACTTTCTGCCGCCTGTCCAATATTTTTCTGCTTACCTCATATGACAGTTTACGGCAAATGAAGACACTATAAGCACCATTTTATTCAACAGATATTGTACTGTGCGTCAAAATAATGAACAAACACGTCTTCTGCTTAATAAATACATAAATGATATATACTCATCCTATAAGAATGACATGTAAAAATACCTACCAGCATCCGGGCACTTATTCCCGGATCTCTGTATGCAAAACGTCTTGTCGGAAGTTGGCAGGTTGTCGCCCCCAGAAGTGGTTTTCAGCAAACCTGCATGATGACAGAGCATGTTCAGGATTAAAGTGAACAAAACCCTTTCCATAATCATAAGAAATATTCGCTTAAATCAGAGTCCGTTGTACGGTTCCGACTGTGCCATAAGCATGTGTTTATGAATCACTCTCACAAAGTGATAATACAAGGTTTTCGCGAAAACAAACACGGCAACATGAGGTACAAGTCAAAATAAAGAATAGCATCAGGCGTACTTTTCCTCAAGATGCGTCAAATTTGAAAATGTCAAACAACTTTTGTTTGATTTTCGAAGAAAGAGCATGCACGAGTGTACCTCAAAAGTTGTGAAATGTAGAAGGTGAGGTGAAATGGGGTTTAACGTCATACCAAAAGACGTTAAAAGATGGTACTTGTTGTTATCCTGTTTGGCGCTCAACATTAAGGGGCTAAAACAAGGACTGGTCGGTCGGTCGGAGTCAGTATACTGTGTCTGAGTGGGGTATTCATGGTAAACTGCGGCATGGTATCTCAGTGTTCTAGCACTATAAATCGGCACCAGTCCGGGTTAGTACAAGCAGCCACACAAACACACACACGTGCATGCACGTCGCTATATAAGTGCAATAATCTTGGACGCGACGTTAAACCCCATTTCACCTCACCACCTTGTTTGGTGTCGTGTAAGGGAAACCGGCCGCCTTACCGACATCGTCTTTCCGTGTGCACAAATAGGGGCATGTTGTTTATTCAGATGTTATTCTGTAGATGTCATGTAACGATGCTGTGCGTTATGGATAAAATGGTTTCATACACATACGTATTAATCACAGTTCCTGCACAGAATGCGTGGCTGTCTCAGATTATACTTACCATCTGATTTGGTTCTTAATTCGTCCGCCTGCCCAAATGTGCCTCCGTAGACGGTGCAGGCGTCGATGTAGGAGGTGAGGATGTTGAACTGTTCCCGAGGTGACGTGTCTGTAGAACATGGTGAGTGAGTTAACATATTTTTGCAGAAAGATGTAGAGGATAGTGGGAATCATCCTGACACATCTTATCTATTATGGTATTGGCAACTGAAAATGATATGATCAACTAGTGGGGAGTAGATCTAATGGGTTATAATGATTGGTTTGATGAGATTGTAGCGGACCATGGCGTTAAAGGGGTCGAGGTCACATTTGAAATTTGCCCTTGGCAGCCAACGTCATTAACATCGGAAAAGACCACCTCTGTTGGCCAGATATGAAAGAATTCTTCCAGCTAGCTTCTGATCTGTTTGATTCATGTGTGTGTCCACTCGTCAGTGAGAGCAACACCCTGTTCATTCAGAGTGGTGGGTAGAATTTGACGTTGACGTATACGTCTGCCAATGACGTTGCAGACATGTTCAAATGGGGAAAGGTCAGGACAGAGTGTTGGTCATGGCATGACATGGATGTTTTGCTGTTGGGGAAATTGGGCAACAATCGTTGCACGATGAGCACGTGCATTATCATCTTGAAAGATGGAACGTGGTGAAATGTTGTCCCGATGGTATTGACCCGTGACTCTTTTATACCACCCATGCCATAATGGACCAACCCCCAAAATGATCATGCTGTATGACGAAAACGTCCATAAAACGCTCATTGAGACGTCTCCAAACTCGATTCATTTGGTCATGGAAGTCTAGAGTTAACCTGGATTCTCCGGCAACATGATAATCCCAGTGTTGGCTTTATCTACAAACTGACGCCCACCAGCAACATGGCACGTAAATGTTTTGCACGTTGCAAAACCTCGCGTGGTAAAAGTCCCAGACCTAAGTGACCGCCTCCGTGGTGTAGTGGACGGAGCGTCTGCCCGGAAGGCGGATTTCCGTTGTTCGAATCCCGGCCGCGCCATAATAAAAGACGTCAAAAGATGGCATTTGTTGTCATCCTTCCTGACGCTCAGAATTACGAGATAAAACAAGAACTTTGTGGCATAGTATCTCAGTGGGCTAGCACCATAAAACCAGCATCAGTCCGGACGGGTGGAAACCCAATTTCACCTCACATCACTCTGACCTAAGTTCCGGTAGGGTCAACCGCGCTATGCTGACATTGATATAGCTAAACAATATGTTCAAATGATGTTAAACTCGCTAATGCGTTCCTTCTGTAACTTTGACAAACATGGAACAGCCGTATTAAATACGTTTTACAACGTATATCTTTAAGGTTCTATTTATCTTGCAGTTGGATATTAAACTTAAACACGTCCAACACGTCCATCTCAACAGAACTGAACATCACACAAAGAACGGAAAATTAATGACGATAATATTCCATGAGGGTCTAGTGCAAGACTGTTTACAACATCTGTAGTGGTAGATCATCTTCCCGAGGCAAGAGAGCTAACTGACTATAAAAGTCCAGTTTCCACCCTTGCCGAACTAGGCTGGTATTATGGAGTTACATTTTGGCTGGACTAACGAGTCTATGCATAGTCCAATCAAATTCGCGCACCAAAATCGAAATCCGGTTCGTAAACTGTCGTGCAGATTTCTGTCGATTGCAGGATTTGCAAAGCATGTGCACCGCCAACTCGTTGTCAGCAGATATTTTCCAAATCTTTTCATGTTTTTCATCCGTTTTATCACAATATAGATCTTGATTATCGATCAGATCGTTTTGACTGGGCGCCACCATTTTTTGTGAAGCAAACGCAAGTGATACGAGAGGTGGAATCTGATTGGTCCATAGGAGAGGCTTAGAAGGGACAAAACTGGTAATAGCCACTGGTGGCGCTACGATCGAGCCCAGTAATTCCAGCCTAGTTTGGCAAGGGTGGAAACTGGACTTTTATAGTTAGTTAACACTCTTGCCTTGGGAAGATGGCGGTAGATAAGTAATACTTACTATGTGGGGAGGCTTCAGAGCGGGTGAATGGCAGACATTCGTTAAAGTAACGATCTCCGGACGGTATAACGATAGGGAAGCAATTCCAACTGAAAATGGTAGTTCGCCCTTAGAGTCTTACACTGTATCGTTCAATGCTCAAACGAAATCTTTTGAAGATAAAATAACTCTAAAACATTTTTACAGGATATATTTTGCAAAGATTGTTTTCGTGATGTGGACCAATAATGTCACGAGAGACACCAGGCGGGGGACACCAGAAATGGGCTTCACACATTGTACCCATGTCGGGAATCGTACCCGGGTCTTCGGCGTGACGAGCGAACGCTTTAACCACTAGGCTACCCGACCGCCCCTGTTGCAATCAGAATGAAATAAAGGATATATTGTCGCAGATAGAAAGAAGTAAAGGGGATATTGTTGCAGGAAGGAAAATAACAATGGAGTAATAATTGGTTGAATATTTAAACTTTCTAACTCTTTGTCCCTGGTGTGCCAGCAAAATCGTGGGCCATGAACTGCCCCCACTGCATGACAAGCTGGTTCTGCGTTGGCTCCAGACTACTGTCACTGTCGGCGGAGAAACACCCAACACTAACCGCCCTGGCACTAGGTAGACCATTCAACCGAGGTTTTCCTGTAGCTGTTAGTGAAATTAACTCGTTCAGTTATATCTGGAAACCTTCATGGATACACATCTATACAATATATAAAAATACCATCTTTATGAACGATATTGAAGTTTCAAAACAGAATATTGTTGAAATTTAATGTGATCATTTAAAGTAAATGACAAAAGACTGGCACTGGGTAGACCCTTCAACTGAGGCTTTCCTCTAGCTGTGAGTGCCATTAACTCGTTCAGGTATATATGGAGATCTTCATGTAAACATGTATATATAAATACTGTCTTTATGAATTACATTGAAGCTTTAAAACATATATATTGTTGAAATTTATTGTTTACATTTAAAGTAAATAACAATTTTTAAAATAGTTCAATGAAAATTGTGATTCATAGAAAATATGTTCCATTTATACATTGAGTTGAAAATAAAGTTTTATGTAATTTTACTTAAGCATAATGTACTTTCATGTTTTTTAACCCATTTTTACAGATACATACAGTCATCATAAACTTCATTGATGAGTCTCCTCATGTCCTGTAGAGGCGCTCCCCATCCTGGGTTGTTGAGGTTGTTGCAGATTCCAGTTTCTGGGCGGAAGATGAAGTCGTCCACGAGAGTGTTACTCTCATATTTACGGCATTTATTAACGTCAACACTTTCATATTTTCATTATGTTTTTACAATATCCAGTGTGATTAATTTTAACTTATCGACAATTTACCATTCCTTGGATGTTTGTGAGAGGCAGAATATTTGTTCCAGCATGTCCAGAAAAGGCTTACATGTTTTTCTAACAACCTCTGGCTATAAGGTCTACAGTATGGACCTTTAGCGATATTTGACCAGTCTGAAAATGGCTCTCGTAGATGAGATGATCTATCAACATAACGTGACATAAATAACAGATAGGTATAGTAAATATCGAATTCAATTGTTGATTTGTCAAAAAATAGAGAAATTTGAATTACGAATGTGATTTTAAACTTTTGAGATTTTCTGCTTTCAAAGCAAGAACTTCGACATTGGTTTGCGAGAGCGATGTTGTTTTCCATTACTTTTAATGGTGTTTGTTTGTTTGTTTGACGCAGCACTGAGCAATATTCCAGTTATATTACAGCAGAAATCGAACCCTCGTCCGAAACGTAATATCTGAAGCCACTGTATTTGTGTACTACAAGTGTTATTTTGAAACTACTTGAACATCTGACATCAAACAAAGACGTGTCGTCTAAAATATAGTTTTATAAATGTCCATGTTATTTCAAATTGACACAACAGTTTATCATGATGCTTTTCGTAGTGTGACGTATCGCATCCAACAACCTACCTGTCCCTTGAGCTAAGGCGACCCTACTCCCGAGTGACAATCTCGTCAAGTTTCGTTCCAGGGTGCCACACCCTCTCAGAAGCTGAAAAGAGCAAAGACATTGCAAAAGGGTATAATGCAAAGACCAGCTGATTTTGGCCTACTATTGTCCACACAAAGAAAACAATTATTGGTATCGTCCATGTAAATATAAAATGTCCCTAGGCTCTCATGGGGCGCATAGTTGTTCTGTTAGTCCGGTAAAATCTACTGAGTGAGTGAGTGAGTGAGTGAGTGAGTGAGTGAGTGGGTGAGTGGGTGAGTGGGTGGGTGGGTGGGTGGTTGGGTGGGGAAACCCACGAGCAGGGGCATGGTGCTGACATACCTAGAAATATAATCGGGGCCAACCGGGATTTGAACCCACATTCTACCATAAATTTGGAATTTACTCGATTCTGATTGGTCAATTAGAGGCTATTAAATCACAATAAACCCCCTCTGATCGAAACAGCTGGTTTGACGGCCGCTTCACCGCGGAAGCTAAATTTAACATTTGAAACCTCACGCTGCGCGTTCGGTTCCAAATTCAATTTAGCGGGGTTAAATCTACAGGTAACCTAGCTCTACATTGAAAACACAGTATGTTTATCTCCTAAATCATAGGTTTCTGGCGTGCCCAAGGGCAACTCTGCACAGCGAATCGCGGCGCCTTAGACGACTGGGCCACCTGTGCCCCCTAGTCCGGTAATCTATATGACAAAGACCCCAAGAATACAGGTCCAGGAATCCCAGCGTTCGCCCCGATTATGATTCGTAGCTTGGATAGCTTCATTATACAAGTCTTCATTGGATTCACCAAATTGGCAATCGTCTTCTTACTCCGTCTTTCTATGGACATTCCTCCAAAACATGCTGCTACATCGTGATGTAGTTGAAGTGGTGTCTAAAGCGGCCTTAAACCAAGACATACTCACTTTTAACATTGCTGACTAAAGAATAAAATTTGATATCCCAGACACACAAGAGATTCAGTTTGGAAACAGTTATAACCAGCGACCTTAGTGTAAAACTTGATTAGTGATGCCATTTAATGTGTTGTCATTCGTAACCGATGACGTCTCAAGGGTCTGCAAATCATTGTACTACAAATTTATTGTAGCGATATATCCTTGGAGATATCACTTCATCTCACTCAAGATATATCCCAAGATAAATCTACATCTCAGAGCAAATTAAATAAGGATAAGATATATGGATGAGCAACTTCTTTATTACAATTAGGAGCGACGTTTCGGTGTAGGTTCTAACACCGTTCACAGCAAATGCAACGGTAGGAAAAACATCATTTCGAATTATAAAAAAATAAATTGATACATAAACAATACTTACACGCAGCAACAACCCCCAAAACACAAACACTGATGAATGTATAGAGTAGCATTGTGTACAAAGTCTCAAACCACTGAGTCAGGTAAATTCACTCCGGTATATATAGTCATTAGAAGAATAGCCAAAGATAACAACGTGTCGCAATATTATCACATATCCCTCATTTTGTTTCGCTTTTGTCTTCTTCAGAAACACTGTCTTAAAACGAAATAAAATTGTAGTTTGGGATATCTGGAATGATTAATAACGGAGATCTTTCACATTACCATATCCATTGCTTTACAGTCAGTCATATCAGTAGGGGCATATCACCTAATCAATGGAAACATTTCAGTGTTTTTTGTGATTTCTTTGCCAACGCAGATACTGTTGAATTACTTGGCATGGTTTTTGTTGGCTGCTAAAATAAGTGGAATGTTAACGCTGATTCAAAAAGGTATTGAAAAAAACTTGTACATTATTCTGGTGCGCTGTGGTATATCACTGTCGACTGTGTCTCAGGTGATGTTACAATGTTGTCTGTGTGTGTGTGTGTGTGTGTGTGTGCGTGCGTGTGTGCGTGTATGTGTGTGTGTATGTGTGTGTGTGTGTGTGTCCTTTCTCTGCGTGCGTACGTGCGTGCGTGCATGCGTTTGTGTGTGTGTATTGAAAGGTATTGAAAAAAACTTGTACATTGGT